GGCCGTTATACCATGGTTCATTTTCTACCTGCTGCTTTTCTTTCTTTTTTTTTTTTTTTTGGTTTTTCGAGACAGGGTTTCTCTGTGGTTTTGGAGCCTGTCCTGGAACTAGCTCTGTAGACCAGGCTGGCCTCGAACTCACAGAGATCCGCCTGCCTCTGCCTCCCGAGTGCTGGGATTAAAGGCATGCGCCACCACCGCCCGGCTACTTGCTGCTTTTCTATGTAATTCCAAAGTATCCACAGAGCCTGTCTCCCTGTTCAAAGTCAGGACATAGAGGTAGTGCTTGGCTGGGGTCCCATAGTCCTCTTCCCTTCCAGCCATACCTCCCACAGAATCCCCAGCCACCACTTAAATCCAGCTACATCTGCCTAGAAAAATGCCAGGTCAGCTGGGGTTGCACAGGGCCCACCCCAATTCAAAAGGTGATCCCAGGAACCTGGCACGTGAGAGCATTGCCTCCCTGAAGGCATAAGCTCCTCCGTCTTTCCTCAACCTTCTCCAGGTTGCCTCTCACTGGCCTCAGCTGGAGCTGTCCAGGCCTCCCAGCTCTGTGACTCCAGGAGAGCCCATCCCCTCTGAAGTGCAGCTTCCTTGCCTTGTGAAAGGGGGTGAAGGGAGAGCCAAGCTACAGAAAATGCTATAGATGCAAGAGCATCTGGCCTATGGCACAGTGGGTGCAGAGTTCCATACGGTAACACCTGCCCAGGCCCAAAGTCACACCTACAAAGCTCCCAGAAGCCAGGCCTGAGGAAGTACCAAATTATCAGACTCAACCCAACCACTGCTCCAGCCTTAACTCTCACAGCCCAAACGGGCCACCATCTCCTCCTCCATCCAGGCCCGCCCAGACTCAGGTCGGCCCAGGGGCCAACAACATTCACAAACCCCTCGCCTGGGTAGTCCAGTGACTTTAATTCTTGTGTCTATGACCCTTTCCCTTGGTCCATCTCAGCCAAGTAGCTGTATAGGCCAACTGCCAGACACTGGACATACTGGCATGATGAGGACAGGTCTGGGGGGGCTCTGATCTGTGCACAGCCTGACCTCAGGTATATCTCGCCACTTGTGGTTGAGGCACAATACCACCCCTCCACACCTGTGTTCCAGGCAGTGCCGTGAGACCTACCGCTTAGGTACACTTCAGGGGTAAACAGAAGGAACGAACATAAAGCACTCCCCCCGACCTGCAGCAATCTACACAATCTGCAGGGCAATGAAGCCCAACACTGGGGCATGAGGCCTCCAAAAGTACTCAGCCAAAACAGGGACAAAGGCAAGCAGCAAGACGTGGGCCCCAGCCCCTCCGAGAACCCACACTGGTTGGTGAAGCAAACTGCCTACTTGAGAAGGACCCTGCCTGTGTTGCCACCCAGGGCCCAGGAGAAGTCCCACCCCTACGAGAAGCAGTGGGCCTCTGGGTGGCTGCATCAGATGCGTGGGCACCAAACCACTCAGGGAAACCAGAGCTCCCTGGGAGCCATAAGGAGTTTCCTAGGGAAACATCAAAATCTTTTTTTTTTTTTTTAAAGACGATGGAGAAATATTTTTTATTTATTTATTATGTATACAGTGTTCTATATGCCTGCAGGCTGGAAGAAGGCACTATATCTCATCTTGGATGGTTGTGAGCCACCATGTGGTTGCTGGGAGTTGAACTCAGGACCTTTGGAAGAGCAGCCAGCCCTCTTAACCTCTGAGCCATCTCTCCAGCCCGAAACATCAAAATCTTATATGGGCAGCCACAACCTTGGCTGCTTGCAGCAGGGTTTTTACTTAACCTAGCAATCACCTATGCAGCTCTCTTCTCTCTCCCGAGAGACCGTGTCCTTGCAGTGAAGGAAGGACCAGCCTCAATCCCTGGCACACAGCAAATGCTCAAAAAATTATTTTGACTGAGACCATCATAAAAGAGAGTTTAAAAAAAAATCAGATTTGTATGTAGCTACAAGGTGCCTTTCATCCTGAGAGCCAAGTGACCATCCTTATGCAGGTAGGGCCAGCAATTTCATCCCAGCTCATAAACACACACCGACTCAGACAGGACAATAGCTGCCCCTGGACACCTCAGAACCACCTCAGGAGGAGGACACTTCAGCCTGAGAGGACACTGCATAGCTCTGAGTAACAAGCTTTACTTAAACACCTAGATTCATTTAGAATGGGCTGGGAGTGTCACTCAGTGATAAAGCATGTGTTTAGCACTAAGCATGAGGCTCTCAGTTCAATTCCCAACACCAATAAATTTATTAATAAACCCAACAGGTTGTCACAGCGGAAAAGTGAGGATAACAAGATGGAATCTGAGGTACAAAACTGAAACACAACAACCAAACAAAACTGCACTGCGACCCACAGGCTGAGCGGGCAACTGACTGCATGCCAGGTGTTGACTCAGACAGAGTTCCGAGTTCCTACCTTCTGAGCGTATGGGCCAAGCATCAGGCCTCTGATCGATAATCTCCACCATCAACTTGACGGCATCTAGAGTCTCTTAAAAAAACAAGCTTCTGGGCAAGTCTTCGAGGGATTATCTACATTGGGTTAATCAGTGTGGGGAAAGCCACAATGAATACGGGAAGACCTAACTCATGGGGTGGGGTCCTGGACTGAATAAAAAGGAGAACATGATCTGGGTGCCAGCGTTTATCCATCTCTCTCTGCTTCCGGTGCAGACCAGGGACCTCAAGCACCTGCTGCCACGATGAACTCTATCCTTGAATCTTGAGCCAAAACAAACCAGTCCTTCCCTACGTTGCTTTTGTTAGGTACTCCATCACAGCAACTCAAAAAGTACCTAATGCAAGGCTCTAACCCAACTGGGATGTAAGCCCCTATCAGGCTTGCCCCTTCCTCTCTGAACGTCAGAGTTCTCATGTGAAAAGAGCAGCCTCTTCTAAGAAGCAGAGGCTCTGTTCTCCTTGGCCATCCACACAGCAGGGAAATGCTTCATTTGTTCCCGACATGTTTACGGGGCTCGTGCTCTGTCTGTGTCCCCAAGTTAGGCACCAACAGAAGGACTGGGAAATGCCCTCCTGGCTCTTGACTGCCGAAGGGACAGCCACACAGCTCATTACAATGCCATAGTCGTGCCAATCATCTAGGGCAAAGGGGACAGGGCTGTAGGACTAGGTATGGAGGATGGGTTCCAGGCAACAGCAAGGAGCAAAGACTCAAAGGAGAACTTGCAGTGCACGACGGGCAAATGCGTAGGAACAGCTTCCCATGCAGCCGTCCCATGCAGCACACACAGACGTCCAGAACCTCAAAACACTAGTGTCTAAGAACGGGAGAGTGGAACAGTAGATGAGAGAGGACTGAAGGGTGGGGGAGGTGCCGGTCATTGTGCGAGCTAACAGGCACAGCGGGATGTGGGGAGGCTCTGGGGTCAGACTAGGCAGCGGTCAGTCAGCTGTGCCACTTCCTCCCTGGGTGCCCCTGAACAAGACTCCTTATATTCCTGCTTACCTAAGGCGGTACTGTGTCAGGGTTGAACTGACAGGACATGCACAGAGCACCTGGCATGTGGGGAGCTCCCAGGCCAGGCCAGGTGCTGGGCTTACTGCTCTTAAGAGAATGACCCTACAGGCTGTCCAGGGGTGAGTAGAGGCAGAGTGATGATGCCCTCAGGTCAAGAACAAGAGAGGTAGGTGTGTGCAGAGGGGAGTGTGACAGGGCTGAGGAGCTTGCAACAGATGGTCCCCCGGACCCTCCCCAATCCAGACATTCTGTGCCAAGTGACAGCTGCCTGTGACAGGCGGGCACACAGTAGGTGCTCAAATACACGTATACTGAATCCATTAATAAGGGTACTTCGATTAGCTACAAATCATTCTCTGAACACCTTTTGGAAGAAACCACTAAAAGCCACGTTTTCATTCATCCCCACCTCAGAAGACACCCCCAGGTGGCTGTACCTGCCTGACAAGAGAATTCCACTCAAGGTGCGCTGTGTTAGACCCCGCAGCTGAGAAGGCCAGGTGCCAAACAGGCCTTGTTTCAAAAAAGAATGAAAATCCACTTCCTGTCCTCACCAAGACTCCAGGGCGTGGCCTACCAAGGGACCTTGAGTGCCAGGCTTTACACTGTCCCTGCTACTCTGTGGCCTTCCCAAGGTGTACTTCCACTTTGGGGCATTAATACAATCTAGAAGGCTGTCACCCCCGCATCTCCATCCCTTCCCCACCCCACCCCCCAAAAAAAACTAAGTCAAGCCTACACTGGGAGGGTGGTTGGGGTGAGGGGACACTGACAACAGGGAATGAAGTCATTCCTTGCATGAAGAAGGGAGGGGTCTTTTTACAGAGAAAATGACAAGCTCGAGACTATAGTGGAGGGGGCTCCTCTACATGGGTAGAGGCAAATGTATCAGAAACGCATTACCTCGCGCCCAAGACGACCCCACCCACACCTACAGTCCCTTGCCCTTTCAAAAAATGAGACACCCCCACCCCAGCCAGCAGATGAATGATTCCTTTGACTAGAATCGGAGAGGCTTCAATAAGCCCTGATTCCTGTGCCAAGTAGGTGGGGTCAAGGGGCAGAGGCCCAACAGGTCCCTGGTAGAGCTAATGGACAAGAGGGCCTTTGGGTGCAGAAAGACAAAGGCTACAGCAAACAGGAGACACGGCCCTCCATGTGGGCTGGGAATGCGATTAGGGCACACTGTCTTATGCGCTGGACTAAAGACCTTCTGAAATCTCACGCCCACACTCCCCGCAGCAGCAGTGGGCTCCCCAGGTCTTCCTGGAGAAGACAGAGGAGTAGCAGAAACCCGAAGAGGAAGGAGGAACTGGGATAGACATCCTGACGGTCAGAGGGAGACAGAGAAGCAAAGACATAGGGCTCGGGGTTTTGTGGTAACGAAATGAGACTGAGACTTGGAGTCCCAAGAAATAGAGCGCAGAGCCGTGGGAACGCACGGAGGACAGGCAGCACAGGGGAGGCGCGGAGGTGGACACGCGCGGACATTCGCGCGCGCTCCCGGCACTGTCACTCACCCAGGCCGCAGACCTCGCGGCGCAGGTTGAGGCGACCGCGCTCCTCCGCTATGGCGCGCAGCATGTGCTGCAACGAGCGCTCCTCCGCTTCGGCGCCGTCCGCGGGCTCCCGGGAGGCGGCCGGCCCAGCCCGGAGCCCCGCGGGCGCGGACGCCGAGGCACAGGCCCGGCCCGGCGGCCGCGCGGAGGCCATGCCGGGCCCCGGCTCATCGCCCGCGCCGCGCCCGCGGGGGCCCCTGGCACGCCCCGCCGCCCGCGCCCCGCCGCCGCCCGCCGCGAGCACCAGTGAAGCCACAATCCGTTTTTATGCGCGTCGCCGTCACCACCACCGCAGCCGCCGACCTCGGAGCACAGCCCAGCACTGCGAGGCTCCGCTCCGCCGCCGCCCGCGCGCGCGCCCGCCGCCGCCCAGGCCACGCCCCTAATACGGGCACGCCCCCTACCCCGCCTCCGACACGCCCCGTATTCTCAAAACCCCGCCCCAATCTCCGGCTAAGGCGGTGAGTTGTCCCTGGTCCTGCCCCCTCTCCTAGCCCCGCCTACTTCCTTGCGGCCAGCTTCTGCCAACTTCGAACGCCCACCGTGGCCTCGCTACAACCTGTCGCGTCATGTCTACGCCACACCATTCTCATACCTTTCTTGGCCTCCAAACCTTCCCAGCTGCCCGTGTTCCCCCACCCTGCGCCCACCTTCTCCCGGCTCCGACTTCCCTCCACCAGAGTCACGCCTCTGAGCCTCCCCCTCTACACCACACCGATTTTGCGCTTTGTCACCGCCCTGTGCATTCCCTCTGTCTCCACCACACCAGCTTTGCTCGTTTCTTTCTGAACCTTCCACCGAGGTTCTGCTGGAAACTTGCTTCCCAGAACACAGCGAGAAGTAGCCACCTCCAAAAGGTGGTCGGTCTCCTGGGGGCCACGGTGTGGGATAGGAGGCCTCAGTTCCCACGGTGTGGGGAGGAGGGGGAGCTGGGGAGTTGTTCTCTATCAGCGCCTGTACTGAGACGGTATGTGGAGGCCAGAGGTGGATGAGGTCAGCTGACACGTGATTCTGATGAAGGCCAAGGTCCAGCTGGGCATCCATTCCTAAGCTGAGAGAGGAGGATCCAGGGAAGCAGCGGCCAGAGGTTGTCTTCTGACCTCACCCTGTGGTCCTTTCCCAGTACTGGGGTAAGTGGCTGTGTACTGCTGCTGTCTGCCAGCTGTGTCTCCAGTGTCAGCTCCCCCAGTTACACAAAGCGTTAAGCTCTGCCCCAACTCTCCACCCCACCTGGAGTGCCCTTCTCCCCAATTTCCTGTTGTTTTCTTCTTTCCTTTGGGTCACAGTGTCCTCAAGTACATTTACTGAAAACCCTACCTTGCCCGGTTCTCCTGTTCTTCTCCACATAGATGCACACTTACCCCTCCCGCCATTGCATTGCCTAGCTGCAGGAGGCTTTGAGGCCTCACCAGGAACCAAATCACCCAGCACCGTTACTTTCTTGAACTTGGCAGGCATCAGATGGTGAGAATGCAGCAAGCACCTGTTGTTTAAGCCGTGGTATTTTACCACAGCGACACTACGTGTTCTGCAAGCCTGTCTTCTGACAGCTGTATTCCCAGTGCCCAATAAACTCAGGCTACGTCACGGAGAACGGAGGAGAGAGGCCTGCCAAGGAAGAATGCCATGGGAGGTATGGCAGTAAAGTGGGTTGGGACCATGAGGTATGGAGACCACTCCAGAGTAGGAAATGGGCAGTTACGACTCACTGTTCAATCCTTGCCTGGAGATTTGTGTCTTCGTTCCCTAACACCCTCAGGGCAGGACCTGAGTCCGATTCTTTCCAAGGTCCCAGAATGACGTGTGTGTGTGTGGGGGGACCACACACGGGGACACGACTAGGTAGAAAGGTGTGCATGGAGGAAATTAATGGCTTTTTTGTTCTCTCCCCTGGGCCTGTGGCTGCCCCCACCCCCCATCTGCTAATGAGGACACAGCATGAATGTTGAGGTAACCAACTGTGAGTCTGGAGAGCTAAGATTTGGCTGTTGGGGAAGGGTATGGCCCTCAGCCAGCGTGTGCGAGGTCTCCAAAGCTGGCAGCGCTACACTTACTTCCGCGGAAGCCATGTCACCGTCTTCGCACCCCCACTGCCAGGCCAGGCTCTTGCCTGAAATCCTTGCTGCTTCAACACCATAATCACCTTCAAGGCTCACCTTCCCTGGGAAGCCTGCTGGGGAGTTTGGCCAAAGCACTGTGTCCTTAGCCACTTCGCAATCCCTCTCCCTTGACCCCGCACAGTCGCCTCCAAAGGGCCAGCATCAAATCAATTCATTCCAGTTTCCCTGGCATCCATTCCAGGACAGGTGCCAGAATGCATTTGTTGAATAAATACATGAACATTACTGGGGTTTTCTCATCAGTAATCTTCGTTGTCCACGTGGGGACTCCTCTGAGCAGCAGGTATAGGATATCTTGCATTGGATGAGTGAGTCACAGTTTCCCGGCTCCAAGACACTGTTTCTTGGTCTGGGTGCTAACCAGTTAGCCCATACTAAGTAAAACGAGTTGAATATGAGTGTGGTCAGTGCATGTTTCTAAGGTGGGAAAGCAACCTGGCTTGCTGGTGCACACCTGTAATCCCAGCACTCAAGATATGAGGGCTGTGGGCCAGTGAGATAACTCAGCTCATGTGCCTGCCACCAAGCTGACCATCTGAGTGAGTACGATGTGCAGGACCCACATGATGGGTGGGGAGAACCAGCTCTGACTAGTTTTCCTCTGACCTCCACATGGGTGTTGTGGTGTACACACACACACAAATATATACAAAACAAAAGGAGTGGGTGGACAATCAGCCTGGGTCAGTAAGACGTAAAGAAACCTGACCGTCAGAAAGACTTAATGATAAATTCCTTATTAGTCCAATGGGGCTCAGCTGGATTCCTAACCTATAATACATAATATAATATATAACACAATATAATACTCATAACTATGATAGTCTAGAACCATAAAACAGTAAATGTGTCTTAGTTGCATTCAATACTAATTTGTTGGGGGCAGAAAAGCAATAAAAAGTAAGTTATAGATAACCTGAATTCACCTTTGGCTGACCAGTCTCTTGTTTTTCTTTAGTTCTGCTCTCCACTTACGGAACACACCGAAGGGACTCCTACTGCCCTCAACTGTGGCTCTTCATTCCATGAAGTTTCAAACACCCTGGAAGAGTGAAGCCAAGGTTGACACAACTGGAAATCAACCACAAGTCACGCTCTTTAATGGGTCAGTTGCTTCATTTTTCATGTTATTGCCTAGATGCTGAGGTGACATCTATGCTTCCATTTTTAGCACTACCTGTTTGGGGATAATCTTACTCTAAGACCCTTCGGATCCTTTTCTCATGCTTTGAGTGACAGGGGTGGGGGGAAGCAGGAGACAGGCTAGCAACCTGTCAGAGAAGACCCTGGTTCAACTGAGATCCCCATGCCACCAGCTCTCTCCATCAGCCCTGTCTGCAGTCTGTACAATGAGGTGAGAAACTGAATAATCCCCATTGCCCTGACCTTACCATCCTGTGGGTCTATGATTGGGTCTCCAAGAGGGGAAAAAACAACAGTCAATGTTCAGAGTACAGAGTAGGGAGATTATAACCAGCCCACCAAGGAACAAGTTCAAGGGTTCTTCTGTTCTCCCCTGAAAATCTGCTAAAAGCAGATTTTAGTTTGCTAGGTGGTAGTGCACACTTCCAGCTTCCTGGCCAGACGTTCTCATGACCCAGGATTCTCCTACTTGCTCAGAACCTGTTCCTTGGCTTTGAACTCCTGATCCTCCTGCCTCTGTCTCCCACCACCACTAGACAGGGCTCCCCAGCCTCTGTTTCATCTGGGAAGTTAAATGCCTGCTAACCTTGCCGATCCTAGACTGCAAGGGTCCCTGTGATAGAACATTATTTTAACTAGGCAATGTTGTATTAAATTTGGTTACACCACAGAATATTCCTTTAACTGTGTAAAGGTGTGTTACTTTTGTTTATGCTGCATTTGTTTAATGATGTAAGGATGTGTGCTTAATTATGTAAAGATATGTTGCATCTGTTTCACCTTGCCTGCTAAGGCCAGTAGCTAGGCAGAGAAAGGATCGGCAGGGTTAGCAGGCAAAGAGAATAAATAGGATAAGAAATATAGGCTCAGAAAGAAGAAAGGAAGAAATAAGAGAGGAGGAGAGAATGAGGAGGATGCCACCATAGAGAGAAGCAGTGAAAATAAGAAAGGGAATTATACAGAAGTGAGAAAGGTAAAAATAGATGAAGAGAAACAGGTTAATTTAGGTTAAAAGAGCTAGCTAGAAATGAGCCTAAGCTAGGCCGAGCATTCAAAACTAGTAAGTCTCTGTGTCATGATTAGGGAGCTGGTTGGTGGCCCAAAGAAAAAGTCTAGTACAGGCCCTCCCTGCTGCAAGTGAAACAGTCACCTGTACAGTTTCTTTTGACTCCCTTCTCTCTTCCACTCCTTTTCTAAGGTCATGAGACAAAGAATATTCTCTTTGTGTGTGTGTGTGGTGTTTGTATGCATGTGTGTGCATGCTTGTATGTGCGCACTCGTATGTGTATGTATGAGTATGTAGCGAGCAGAGTGTATGCATGTGTGTGCATGCTCGTGTGTGTGCACTCATGTGTGTATGTATGACTATGTAGTAGACAGAGTGTATGTATGTGCATGTGTGTGTGCCCATGTGTGTATGTATGACTATGTAGCAGACAGTGTTTGTATGCATGTGTGTGCATGCTCATGTGTGTGCACTCATGTGTGTATGTATGACTATGTAGTAGACAGAGTGTATGCATGTGCATGTGTGTGTGCCCATGTGTGTATGTATAACTATGTAGCAGTGTTTGTATGCATGTGTGTGCATGCTCATGTGTGCATACTCATGTGTGTATGTACGACTCTGTAGCAGATAGAGGCTGATTTCAGGTATCTTATTGCTCTCCATCTTATTTTTTGAAAAATAGGTGACCCTAGAGCTCACTAATTATGCTAAACCATCTGGCCAGCCAGTCCCAGGGACATCTGCTCAGTGCTAGAACTGAAGGCATGTGCTACTGTGTCCAGTTTTAAAAATATATGGATTGTTATTATTTTATTGTATATTTTGTCTTCATGTATATCTGTGCACCACATGTGTGCCTGGTGCATGTGGAGGGCCATAAGAAGTTGTTGGAGCCATGGGAATTAAAGTTACAATGATGAACTGCCATGTGGATGCTGGAAATTGAACCTGGGTCCTTTGGAAGAGCAACCAGGACTCTTAACCACTGAGCCATCTCTCCAGCCCCTAAGTTTAGCTTTTTATGTGTGCGCTGGGATCTGAACTGAAGTCCTCATGTTTGTATGGCAAGCATTTTGCTGAGCTATCTCCCCAGCCTCCAAAGAATATTGTCCAGTGTTATCTAGAATTCTCTCATTGGCACTCTATTCTTTTAATAGCTCCTACTGAAACTGCCCTGGAGGGGACAAGCTTACAATTATAATTAGATACCCATGCCTTGGTAAGAAGGAAGGATTCACAGATTTTAAAAGCAACACCTTATAGACTTGAGATCAGGAAGATTTGGGATAACATTATTAAGCATTTGAGTCCAGGGGCTCAAACATGCTGGCAAGTGATCTTCCAATGAGCTCATTTTCCTCCGCCATTTTGGATGTTTTATTTTGAAACTGGATCTTGCTAATATACCCTAAATGAGCATGGAATGTTCTTGCCTACTCTAGGATTACAGACACAGACAGATGCACATAAATAAAATGTTTTTGTTTGTTTGGTTGGTTTTTGCTTTTTTTTTTTGTTTTTCGAGACAGGGTTTCTGTTCTCTGTGTAACAGCCTGAGTTGTTGCTGTCCTGGAACTCACTCTGTAGACCAGGCTGGCCTCAAACTCACAGAGCTCCACCTGCCTCCATTTCCCAAGTGCTGGGGTTAAAGGTGTGCACCACCACCCCTGGCTGGAGGGACTTTTTCAAAGCCCAAATCTGCATCCTTCCTATTCTGAAGGTGGGACCAGATACCCTGGGTCCCCTGCCTCTTCCTATTGTTATTTTGACATCTCTACTTGTTTCCATCCTTCCAGCCATGAACTCTTAGTGTTATTTCCTCTGTCTGGAACGTTCCTTCCCATCAAGTTCAGACATCATTTTCTCTAGGGAAGTGTTGAGAGTCTGTGACCCAGCTCCAGGTCTGGTTTTCCTTGATCTCTAAAAGCCAATTCCTGCCCAGAACCCCTGTGTCCTTCTAAGCCACTACAGCACTATATTGGAGAAAGAAGTGGACTAGTGAGGGGGGGGGAGGGCAGGGGGCGGGTAGTTCTTGGGTGTGATGCTGGACCCTCCAGGAAGAACACAGCTGTTTGCCTTCAGGAGCTGACACACAATAGGCCCTCTATAAATGCATGTGAACCCGTGAAAAGTAAGTGAACAAGAGAAGGATTGTAGAGGGCATGGGGGTCTTTGTACCCACAGATAAGCACTAGGGAAACCAGGAATGTTAGATATGCAAGCTTGTCTCTTCAATGGAAGGGTTGTGTACCTGTTTTCCACCCAGAAGGCTAGGGATGGATGTTGTTGATAGCCTGGTGATCTGTGCTATCTGTAGGGTCAGGCCACACTTGAATCCCCCAGACTGTTATGCTTGTCTCGGACCCTTCCTCCCTAGACCTTTATCTTGAGTATTGTTTCTCAGTCAATAGATCCCATCCCTGGGGAGACGTCAAACACGTCACATGTACTTTGTAGTTTGGTGACTGTGGTGGTTTAAAAGAAAATGGCCTCCCAAGGAAGGGGCACTAATGGGAGGTGTGGCCTTGTTGGAGTAGGTATGGTCTTATTGGAGGAAGTGTGTCACTGTGGAGGTGGGCTTTGAGGTCTCATATATGCCATGCCCAGTGAGACCGTCTACTTCCTATTGCTTGTGTATCACAGTGTAGTAGGTATCTATCTAGCACCTTGTCTACCTACGCACACCATGTCCTGCCATGATGATGATGATGGACTGAATCTCTGAACTATAAGCAAGCCACCACAATTAAATATTTTTGTTTTAAGGTCCTCTCTTACGTGGTATCTTTTCACAACAATAGAAACCCTGAGACAGTGACCTCTTGATGACCTAGGCCACACCAGATCCTCCCCTAGGCCCTTAAGCTATAGAACCTACCCTTCTAGAAGAGGTCATGCATACTTTACAAAGGATTTGATGGCTTCATTGAAATAATTGTTACCAGGAAACATGCTTCCAAAATTGCCCTGTCCACAAACATGCTTATAGTCAACAGCTCGGGGTCAGACTTTAGAAGTTTGAAACAATGCCAGCTAATTACTTTGTGTTGAACCAGATTTCCTTCTTGTCTCATGCAAATTGTTACCCTGCTGGCTGTGGTGTTTACAGTGACCCTCCTCTCCCCACACACACTGGGTGAGGCTAAAGCCACAGTCCCAAGATTGTGAAACCCCCTGCTGGCTGTAGGGGTGGCTGCTGGCTGTCAGTGACAGTCGAGGAGGTCACAAGAGGGACAGGTCAGCAGTGATATATTGTTCTAGGGGGTATGAGAGGCACCCTCATGTCCAAGGTCCCTCTCTAGGACACCTGGCTCCCTGACTGCTGTGGACCACAGCTGGACCTGGCAGAACAAGAGTCAGAAAAGGCACTTTCAGTGTAAGAAGCTATAGTAGGCTTTAGATAAAGAGACCTTAGCCTTCTCAACTTTCTCTGAGGAGCCCCCAGGTCATAGCTAGAGGGGCCAGCCTGAGGGTCGCGGAGCCTTGGTCAGGGGCAGTAGAAGAAGACGGCTGTAGATCAAGAACAGCAGAAAGAGCAGGGGCTTGGGTTCAAGTCTTATCCCCGCCCATCGTGCACAGTGACTGCCAGCCCCTTCCCTGCCACAGACCTCAGTTTCCCCTTGAGTCAAGAAGGAAGTGCACGTTAATGGAGTGTTTCTTCCTTCTAGGTTCTGACAGCCAGGAGGAACAGGGAAGTATCCTCCCCAGTTCTGCCAGTACCACCCCCTCCCCCCAAGAGGGAGCACAGCCCAGCCTCAGAGCCTCAGCGTCCTCCATTGCAAGCTGGGATGGAACTGGCAGCTCACATGGGACTCACATGGCCCTAGGCAGGCTCCATGGGAGGACACCTGGCAGCCCTTGAACACCTAGACTCTGTGTGGTCTCTGTATTCAGAAAAATAATGGTTTCGTTGGGTCCTCCTTTGCCCGCAGCCTGTCTTCTCCCAGCAGGTCCTTGAGGGCTGGATGTTGGTGAGACTGAGGGGAGTCGCCCCCATCCCACCCCACAACTGCAGACCCAGACTTCACATGCTCCTGACTGTTCTTATCCTAAGAAAAAGAACACATGCCTATGGAGAGGCCAGAGGGCTGGGTGCTGAGTGGGACCAGCAAGTGGACAGAGCTCTGGGTGATTGGAGGCCCTGGTCCTTCGCGGCTTCCAGTTGTGTTGGTGGCCTCATTGTTCCTGAAGAACAGCCGAAGATTGCAATCTGGCCAGTACCAGGCATTTCCAAGGCCTGACCAGACCGGATCCATCTGCCAAGTTCACCCTGGGCTTGGGCAGCAGAGACGGGACCTGATTTCACAAGTCGGGTTCTGCCCACGTCAGTGACTCACCCGTTGCTGCTAGGAGGAACCAGAGGCTAATTAAATTCAGGGTTTGAACCCAGCCCTCTTCCTCTTCCTCTCAAATGTAGTCAAACCTGAAGAGCCCTGAGTGGATGCAGAGGAAGGCTGGCAGCCTCATGGAGGATGCAGCCCTGCCTTCCTGAGATTCCAGAAGGAGGCCAACCATTGGGAACCTCTCTTCTCAACTCTACCATCAACACCAAAACCTTGTGCAGGACTGTCCTCCAAGCCCGCTGCCATCTTCAGGAGTTCTGCTGTGCCTGGGCAAAAAAAAAAAAAAAAAAAAAAAAAAAATACAGCTGATGGAGGGGGCAGGGAATGTCATGGGTCTCTCACCAAAGTGTCTAACCCCTCCCAAGCATCTGTATTTCCTAATTCTTCCCTAATTGCACAGGACTTAGGGGTCTTGGGGAGTTGGGGGAGGGGCTAAAGGATATAGGTGGGAGAGGGCTCCATTAATTCAGCTGTGGGAAAGTCATCGTTCCTGCTGCGCACACTGTCATGTGCAGCCCTTCACCAAGAAGCACCCACAGTCCTGCCAACAACCATCACCTCTGGGTTGTGAGTAAGCCCAGTAAACTCATTGGTGCTCCTTCGTGAACTTTGGTGGAATTGCTGGGATCTGAGGAGGAGGGGTAGGTGCGGGCCACATCTCCCCTTGGCAAGGAATTTTAGCAACAGGACTGCTTTGATAACTCGATAGGGTCCCAGGCCAGGGAGTGGTCATCCAGAGACCTGTGACTACCAAGCTTCCCTCTCCAGCCCTGCCTCCATGCTGCCCCCTTCTGTTCACTTGAGGCAGCACCCTGCGCCACACTCACCCAGGTTGGATCCACCAGAGGAAGAATTGAAGTGGCTCCTGTGTGGTAAGAGGCTGTCAACGCATCTGAATCTTGGACCCAATCTCTAGGGCACCATCTGGGCAGGGTCTTCCTCACAGAGAAGGAGGTGGCAGCTTCAGGGTGCTGAGGCCGAGCAGGCACAGCCTCTGCGTGGGAGGACAGGTGAAGCCCATACCACAAAGCCCAGGGTTCAACCCCAGGCATGGTGGTTCATGCCAGTCATCCGAGCACCCGGAAGGCAGGGGCAGGAGAGATAATTCAGCTGTTAAGGGTTCTTGCTCTTTGATCGTGAAGACCAGTTTGGGTCCCACAACCACATGCCAAACTCCCTCAAAGGAAAAGGCAGAGATATATATGTGGAGGACATCAGATACCCTCGTATGGCCTTTATGCGAGCACACATTCACAAATGCACACATACACACGCACACACACATGCATACACTAAACAGGAAATGTAGCATCGAGACTATAGAAACTCCTACAGACAGAAAGTAGGGAGACAAGCCGTTGTCGAACTGGAGTGCAGCTCAGCGGTAGAGCACATGCCGTGTGTGAGACTCGGTTCCATCCTCAGCACCACAAATAAAGCAGTCTTTTAGTAGCAGATTAGAATAAACTGGGCCCCAAGGCAATAAACTAGAAGCCTGCAAGAAGAGACTCAGCGTCCTTTAGCAGGGAGGGAGCTGTGTCCATGACACATGGCTACACCCACTTCAAAGCGTTCAGAAGTCAGACAGCATGACAAGTGTGGGTGGGTGTGTCGTGAGATTTTGAGGACTGAGACAAAATACCCAAGGAAACAGTTTTAAAGGGATAAAGGTTTGTTTGGGCTCCTGGTTTCCGAGGTGATGGCCCGCCACTCGCTGCTTTGTTGCTTTGGGTCTAAGGTAGAATGTCAGGTGGTGGGCATGCGTGGCAGAGGCAGCTCACCTCACAGCAACCAGGATTCAAAGAGCAAACAGAAGGGGCTGGGGACAAAATGTCCGTAGGGGAACACTCACAAGGACCTGCACTCCTCAGCAAGGTCCTACCTTCTAAGATCACGTTTTTTTTTTTTTTTCTCGCAGTAGCCTGTCAATGGGTCCACCTATGGGAGGGATCAGAGCCCTTCCGATCCAGGCACCACCTCCCCATCTGTGGACACTGCCACACTGGGAGCCAAGCCTTCAAAACACAGCTTCCCAACCATAGTGAGGGAGCACAGGGTGGGACTGGGGTTCTCAACACAGCAGCTGGGATGTAAGTGCCCGGGCACTTGGAGAATAATTCAGGGTTTTTGTTTTCATTATTGTTTCTGTTGTTGTTTTGTTTGTTTTTGAGACAGGGTCTCTCCAGGTAGCCCTGGCTGGCCTGGAACTCACTATGTAAACTAGCTTGGCCTCCCCAGTGCTAGGATTAGAGGGGTGCACCTTTAATAAAAGTCTGGCTTATGCCTCAGTTTCTTAAAAAGTGAAACTCATGTCTGCCCCATGACCCAGCCATTCTGCTTGTAGGTGCACAGAGACGATTGAAATGTGCACAGCAGTGTCACTAGTAACAGCTAAAGGAGAAATGCGTCCATTCGTGGACAGGTAAATGGGCCAACCGACTGCAGCTTTGTCGCCTGACAGTGCTGTCCTACTCAGGCATAAGAAGGAACAAACTGTCAATACCATGTAACAAAATGAATGAATTGCTAAACGATTTTGCTGAGTGTAAGAAGTCAGGCTCAGGCCGAAGGAGAGCTTTCTGTGTGGTTCTATTTACATGTAATTATGGAAAGTGCAACCTCAGGGCTGGAGAGATGGCTCAGTGGTTAAGAGCACTGGCTGCTCTTCTAGAGGTCTTAAGTTCAAGTCCCAGCAACCACATGATAGCTCACACCTTTCTGTAACGAGATCTGGTGCCCTCTTCTGGCCCGCAAACAAACATGCAGGCACAACACTATATTCATAATAAAAAAAAATCATGAATCAGAATAAACCTTTCATTAGGAAGAAAGGAAGAAAGAAAGAAAGAAAGAGCAACCTCAATCTAACCTGTATCCACAGAAGCAGACCTAAAACTGCCAAGGTGGAGATGAGCTGGGACAAAGAATGGGGAGAGGAAGAGGAAGAGGGATGAGAGTCCACCGTTATGGTTTATGTCTGTAATCCCAGCACTCAGACTCTGAGGCAGGAGGATTGCCATGAGTTTGAGGCCAGCTAGCAGATAAATTCAGACACACACACACACACACACACACACGTTGTGAGCTACCTGGCATGGGTGCTGGAAACCAAACTCTGGTCTTCCGCAAGAGCAGCCTATGCTCATAACCACTGAACCACCCCTACCAGGGCTTCAGCTTACTCTTAAAACTGTGTTTTTGGGCCGGGCGATGGTGGTGCACGCCTTTAATCCCAGCACTGGGGAGGCAGAGGCAGGTGGATCTCTGTGAATTCGAGACCAGCCTGGTCTACAGAGCTAGTTCCAGGACAGGCTCCAAAGCCACAGAGAAACCCTGTCTCGAAAAAGCAAAAAAAAAAAAAAAAAAAAAAAAAAAAACAAACCTGTGTTTTTGATTTTTCCCAGGGAGGAAAGACTGGCTCGTAACACTCTTTCTAACAGCATAGAGGTCCACCCAGTTCTTTGGGACCCGGGTTCATGATGGCATCAGTTTCTTAGCTCCACATGGTGGCCTGGTTGTAGAGCGAGCAGACGAGATGGAAGAGGCAGAGGATTTTGTTCCAGGCTCTGAACTTGGGTTCTTACACTTGCAGCAAGGAAGCATTTTACCCATGAATCACTTCTCCGGCCCCAAATTAAACTCTAAGGTTGAGTTGATATAAGGACAACTGGGTCAAAGTCATATGTTCAGGGGTCGGGGAGATGGTTTAGCTGGTGATGGCATTTGTCAAGCAAACTCTGAGTTCAACCCTGAAACCCACATGGAGGTGGAAAAGGAGAACAGACTCCATAAACTTGTCTTCTAACTTCTATATGTGTACTGTGATGTGGACATGCGTGCATACACACTCACAATTTAAAAACCTTTTAATTATATGTTAAACTGGTGTCATGGCACAAGCCTTTAATCCCAGAACTTCTGAAGTGGAGCAGTTATTGTAAGGTCATTCTTGACTACAAGGCCAGCCTTAGCTACATAAGATCTTGTATTTAGCCGGGCGGTGGTGGCGCACGCCTTTAATCCCAGCACTCGGGAGGCAGAGGCAGGCGGATCTCTGTGAGTTCGAGACCAGCCTGGTCTACAAGAGCTAGTTCCAGCACAGGCTCCAAAGCTACAGAGAAACCCTGTCTCGAAAAAAACCAAAAAAAAAAAAATCTTGTATTTAAAAAAAAAAATAGAAAACTCCTGGGCATGATGGTGCACCCCTTTAATCCTGTGTGCATAAGCAATGGATCTCTGAGTTTGAGGCCAACCTGGTCTATGTAGCAAGTTCAAGGATAGTCAGGTCCGTGTAACGAGGACCCTGTCTCAAAACAAAACAAAAAAACCCAGAAAACAAAGGATGTGTTTATGATGGTGGGTGTAAGTTGTCAGCACGACAGAATCTAGAATGACCTGGAAGTTGAGCCTCTTGGCATGGCTGTGGGGCACCATCTTGTGTTAACTGATGCA